AGAGCACCTTTATAATCACCCAGTTATATTGTGACGTTTGGTAGCACACAAAGTGTTCCTCTGGTATTCAGGAGTTGCATAATCTCATAGTCATAGGAACATGTATAAGTCATGAAGAAAGCAATAGCAATATACTAAACGATCAAGTGTTAAGCTAACAGAATGGGTCAAGTCAATCACATCATTCCCTAATGATGTGATCTCGTTTATCAAATGACGACTCATGTCTATGGCTAGGAAACTTAACCATCTTTGATTAACGAGCTAGTCAAGTAGAGGCATACTAGTGACACTCTATTTGTCTATGTATTCACGCATGTACTAAGTTTCCGGTTAATACAATTCTAGCATGAATAATAAACATTTATCATGGTATAAGGAACTATATAAATAAAAACTTTATTATTGCCTCTAGGGCATATTTCCTTCAGATTTGGTCCTAGGGGAAGGCATTGGGAAGTAATAAGTAGATGACGGGTTGATAGAGTGACAGAAGTTTAAACCCTAGTTTATGCGTTGCTTCGTAAGGGGCTGATTTGGATCCACATGCTTCATGCTATGGTTAGATTTATCTTAATTCATCTTTCATAGTTGTGGATGCTTGCGAGAGGGGTTAATCATAAGTGGGAGGCTTGTCCAAGTAAGGACAGCACCCAAGCACTGGTCCACCCACATATCAAATTACCAAAGTAACGAACACGAATCATATGAGCATGATGAAAACAAGCTTGACGATAATTCCCATGTGTCCTTGGGAATGCTTTGCTTTATATAAGAGTTCATCCAGGCTTGTCTTTCGCTATAAAAAGGATTGGGCCACCTTGTTGCACCTTTGTTACACTTGTTACTTCTTACCTGTTACGAATTATCTTATCACAAAACTATCTGTTACCGATAATTTCAGTGCCTGCAAAAAATACCTTGCTGAAAACCGCTCGTCATTTCCTTCCGCTCCTCGTTGCGTTCGACACTCTTACTTATCGAAAGGACTACGATAGATCCCCTATACTTGACGGTCATCAGCAAGGCATATGGATTTGAGGAGAATATGCAAATAATATTTGATATTCGTCTTGAAGATGATGATATTGAAAATAATATCGACATCTTGGTGGATGTGGATATGCCTCCAGTTTTTCCTAAATGTGAGTTTGTCAAACTAATTTGTTAAGTTAAGTAATTTAAATTGTTTATTTAAAAATATTAGGTGTTCATCGCTACTAAACTTGTTTATTTATAATTGTTAGCTTATTTCTTATCATCAAGAAATACTCGGAAAGTTGTAGACAGGACATACTACAGCTATGGCTCCGAGCTTAATTGTGAGGAGAAAGGTTCTCTTATCTCATTTATAGATGATGTTGAGGCCTTTAAGACCAATCACTTTATCGGCCAAAATTTGAGTGGATACGTGCCGCTAGTCCATGAGTTGCAGGATGGTAACTTCGTTGCCAAAACCATGGTATGATTTTGTTAATGATGGTAACTTCATTGCATACATTCTTCTTAAGTAAACAACATTTGCTAACTATATATGTTACTATTGTGTGTTGTTCAATAGAAGCTCCCGAAGGAGGTTGTGTCTAACATGATGCTTGCCGAAGGTCATATGTATATGGTTAGCTTACGACCGTTTCCGCTGACGGCTTACCATAGTGCATACTCTATTTCTTTGAAAGATGCAAGGCTCAATATCAAAGAATGGAGCAAACAAACGAATGCGCGCACGCAACCAATTGGAGACAACATGCGTGTGAACAAGCCAGAGGTTGGCGACAGGTTGATCTTCATTCTCCATTTTGGAGATGCACCGGTTTCCCTGTTTTATGTTATTTTACCTAGGAGAGAGGACTAGGTCCTAGGTAGTAAGAACAATTAGCTAGTGTTGATTATTACTATGATGATGATGATGATTAGTTGTTATGATGTTGATGAGTTATGTGCAACAATGTGTTAGCTAGAATGATGAGTTGTCGTATGACTCATAGATGATGATTATGAGGAGTTGTTATGATGATGCATGAGTTGTTATGACTGATGATGATCATGACGAGTTATGTATTATGATGATGATGATCGTGATGAGTTATGTATTATGATGATGATGATGATGATGATGATGATGATGATGATGATGAGTTACTATGATTATGGTGAGTCATTATATCATCGAATGAAAAAAAAATGCGGATTAGATTCAAGTGGATGAATCCAATGTGACCAAGTTGTATTAGTAGGACGTCCGCACAAAGAAAAGATTACCAAAGAAGAGATTCGTGATAGGGTTAACAAAGGAATGTAAATTATGATGATTAAATGGCAGTGTGGACAAATGAATGAAAATTAAGATGATTCAATCATTACTTTACTAGTGGTGGGACAACTTAATTTACATGAAGGCGTGGACCAAAAAACCGGGGGAGTGAACGGCTCGACGAAAAAGACCGGGTGTGGAAGAAGCGACGAAGAAAAGGTGGAGTCGGACGTAGGGAGGGACGAGCAGCATGTTTTGCCGTGCTGTTTGCGTGAATCATCTTAATTAAGTTGTTGTTGCCTTGACATTAGTTTTGGCCTTTGTTGTGAACATGGCGCCGCCATGTTCACAACGATGCATGCAGCATGCACGTACACCGTATAAGTCAAAACAAAGGCCAAACTAATGTCAAGGCAACATTAATATTATTATTCCAAATGAAAGTAGTATTGCTGCTGCAGCATTAATATCTTGAAAAAACATATTGTGAAATCAACATTTCTCCAATCTATACGGCGATAGCAAGGCCATGCCGAGATTGATCAGCATGTGCACTTCATCCTTCTCCCTGACCAGTGCCTCTGCCCCCGGCATACGAAGAAGCGTGTCGCGGCCGCAGTAGTCGCAGACGTTCAGGTCGTCGACGCAGTCGTATAGCTCGAAAGATAGCGGCCCGTCATAGTCCTCGCTTGTGTTGTCGCCCTCGTAGTCCCTCAGGAAGGCGCCGCATAAGTTCAACATGCCCACGGTGGCGCCGTACCCCAGCTCGCAGATCCTGAGGTTGCGCGCCATCGGCGACGTGCTGTTCTTGGTCTTGTGCAGCATCTCCTTGACGTTGCCGCCGGCGGTGACGACGCGCTGCTTGAGGATGTCGACGGGGATGAGCGCCAGGTCGCGGAGGTTCTTGGCGTCCGCGCTCCGGTTGTCGGACCGGAGGGTCGAGATGCAGAATTCCTGGGTCACGTTGTTGGACCCTTCGTCGTATACGAGGGAGTTGGCCGAGGCGTTCTTGCACGCTTCCACCATGAAGTCAGTCGGCTTGGGCTTCTTGCCGCCGACGTCGCCGCTGCTCTGAGCAGCGATGGCCGGGGAAAGAAGCATGACGACGATGGTGGAGAAGACGGTGGTGGTCATATGTGATGTTGCCATTGCCGCAAGGCCTGCGAGAAGCCTTGAATTGGCTGGGAGTGGTGGGGATAAATGGATAGAGACCGATGCCTAAGGCAGAAATGGATGAATGGTTGGATGGATTGAGGTGATATACATAGGTATTTATACAGTTCAGTTTGGCAGTGGATATCCAATTGATTAGTGTACACTTAATGCAGAGATATGTTGATATTTCGATGCTCACATTGTATCTTGTGATATTAATGCATAGTTGTGTGCTAATGCAACACAACTTGATAAGGATTTCGAAATGATCAATGTTCGTCTTATGCTTTTGCTTGCGCGGATGTGTTGGTGATTCATAAATGTAGCATACAGCTTGAACATAGATATCAAAATGAATATTGTTTAGGTATGCACAAATATATATGTCGGTTCTCATTTTGGATATCCTCGTATTATTGCCTTTTCTAGTCACAAATATGACGGATGCTCATTTTCATATCTTCATGTATTAATACATGTCGAACTCCCATAGATTTATTGAAGCAACACCTCTTCATCATGGATACCTATAAGATACTAATCAATGCGTCAGGGGAAACCATCACTTTTTCATCGTGATAAAAAAAAAATTCTTCCAGATCTCAACTGCAAGAGGTTGTCGTTTTGTTTTAAGATCGATTTAGACACATTGTTGTTGCTTCTTCAGTGTTTGTTTGCCGGTTTCCTTTGTATAAGATCTCTTCAATATTTGTTAGTAGGCTCTAGTGTTCGTTTCATGGGAAAACAGTAACCAAGGAGTATTTGTAATATGGATCTGCCCAAGTCTGACTTAGGAAAATAGAAAAACCCAACTCCAGACCTTGATAAGTGCCATACCTGTGGCATGAAGTAATTCCGCCCTACCGTTTTCTGATGACAAGTTTAGTTACCTTCCCTGACATTTTTTGTTGACAAGTTTAGTTACCTTAGGATGGCAACTTTACTTGTGAAGCATGTCAACTTTCTGTTTGGATGGCAAGTTTCAGTTTTTTTTGGGGGGGAGGGGGGTGTCGGATGGCAATTTTAGTTCTAGAAAACGTCAGGATGGTGTTACTTCGTGTCACACGTGTGGCACTTATCATTTAAAAAATAAAAAGGCTGACTCCAGACATGTGCCACGTAGATTTCACAGAAACAGTCAGCAACAAACTATAAAAAAGGAAACTGCCTGCAAACCAAAGAGGTAGTAAAGGATTCGGCAATTCAGGGGCCTAAATGGACTTTTCGCTCAACCAGATTTCCCATGTACACCATCAAACTTGAGATGCCAAAGCACAAAGATACAGACTTGCGACAACAACCAACCAACCAGTTACGACTTACAACAGCAGATGATTCCCAAGATGACAGTAAAGATGGGCCAACACTGGCAGAATTCGATTCAAACATGCCGGAACGGATCAAACTATATGGTCGGGCGCTCTTTATTTATCTCACAGGCGTCTCCGGATCCTCCAGGCAGGGAGGGCAATATGCCTCCTATATATATGGTATCTCCACTATGCGGTTCCATTGAACTATCACCTCACTGGCCTCCTCGTCCACGGTGACTGATGCCTCAAGACATCTACGCCGCCTCGCGCACCGGAGGTCAACCGTCTTTGCCTGATGACTGGTACACGGCGTCCATGATGCCGTGGATCGTTGACAGGCTCAGGCCGGGGAACCTGTGAGGAGCATCTGGGCGGATCTCGATCTTGACGAACGGCCATTTCATTATAGAAGCTGCGCTGCGCTCCTCGGGGCCGTCTCCAACCGCGCAGAAGCGGACATTCGGGCCGCCGTGCCGTTCCTTGATCCACTTGAAGCACTGCAGCTTCCCCGATTCCCACGAGCTGTAAACTGCTCAAGCAAGGAGACAATTTGTTGCCATTAGTATATTTCAGATAACAGATTCACAGCTTGCAATATGCAACACAGATGAAGCGATCAAACAACAGTTGTGACAACATTAGAGACGAACCATTATCAGATGATACCACGTCGTCCAGGCGATACAGCAAACATTTGGCAATGCTCGGAACCAGGGACCCTGAAGTCACTATGCAATTGATACTTGAAGATTTGACAGCAGGCTCAGGTGTTGATTTACCCAGCGCTTCTTCCAGCAACTTATGAGCTGCACAGCAGGGGAACGGCATTGAGTATTCAAGCATACAACATCGAATCAATAGTAAGCTTAGATTGTACATGTAATTCTTTTTTTTTCCCTCAAATAAAAAGTAATTCAATTTTTTTAGAGTAGACCAACAATTTCAGTGCAGAAAAAGGTCATTAAGGTCAACAAGAATGCTATGAAAGGACAACATCACTTGAACATATTTCCCCCACATCTCAAAGCAAGGGTACATACGGAAACCCAAAAACAGAACTCTAGACTGTAATATATTATTCTAGTGCACGAGGAAACTGAAAGCACCCTCTTCTTTTCCACCTACTGAAAATAGAAAATTCAGCAGCCTATTGATTTGATATTAGTATTATTATTGTGGATTACATAATTTGCATTAAGCAGTGCTATTAGGCACTCGCCGACTTTTGGAAATAAATACGTATAGCACCAATGGATGGCCAATCTTTTTTGACCAATCACAAACAAAATATCAGAAGTATCTCTTGATTGAATATTGATACTATCTTAGTAAAAGTTCCCCCAAACTAGTATGAATCAGAATACCTAAAGAAAGCCAGCCATCAGTATATTTGTCTGTCGAACTATACAAATCACTCCAGACTTTGAACATGCGGTGGTCCAGAATTTTTTGCAAACCCTGAAGAAACACCAACGCAGCTGAGCTTAGTGGTTCAAACATGACACAAACAGAAATATAGTAGAATGCAGAAATTAATGACTGCAGCAATAATAAGTCCAACAGTAACAACTAAACAGAAGCTGAAGAGCATTCCAATACCAAATGACGGCAGGGAAGTGTTTATTCAGTTACGATGCTCTGAAAATACCCAGTACAGAACTTACGAGACCTCATATTTACTTACCATTTCTAAACCAAGTTTTTTTGCTAAGATCTAAACCTCTGTGCAAAAGTGCTTGCAATGAAACACAAACTGCTGGTGAATCACTGCAGAAGGGGCATCTTAGCATTGTTCTGGTGTCCACTTAATCTCATATACCTACTGCAGTTCAGCTGCCTGATCCTAATTTACAGAACACAGACCCTTTCTTGGCATTGGCCCACCACCTTGATACAAGACCAACCCCACCCTCACACAAATCCGAAAAAGGAAAAAAAATAAACATATGGTAACTATTTAAATACGGTCAGTGCTAATTGTAAAACTCTTGCAGAAATAACCAGATGTTTAGTAGACTACTACGCGATGTGGATGCTCATAAGGAAAAGATCTTGACATCTCTAAACAAAACTGGATCTCTTGTGTTACAAGATCAGGATATGCATGTCAAAGAAGTTGTACCGACAAAAGGTTTGCATACTGAATTGGCTAACATAGCACTACCACTTTTTATACACCGTCGAAAAATTAAGGCCAGGCACAAATTGGATGTCTTGTGCTACAAAAGAAGTCGTTGCTACAGAAAATAGAGACTGCTACTATATGAATTCACTCATCATGTTATATGAGTTGTTCAGTCATTTCATGAAACGGAATGAAATATTATAGTTTTTACGAGTAATACGGACACTGGATGTCAGCATACGTAGAAGGTCACTTCTAAATGCAACAACACTGCTTAATCATTTAACAAAAGTTGAAGGAAATAGAGTGAGATAAATTAATTATTGTGACACCTTTGCATACTTGTCTCCAATAGCACGATGCCTGTAGGCAAGCTTCCTTTTATTCACATCATCAAAAGGAGAACTAAAGCAGTCGGCCTCAAAATCATATTTTGTCAAGTCTTTCCCGTCATCATACTCATGTAAAGAACTGAGATAGGGTTGATTGTAGTTCTCAATCTGCATACATGAGAGAACAAGACTATCAGTAGATAGCAATGACATATAACATGGACACACATTGTAAAATGTGCAGCCAGATGGCCTGTCCATAACATCAAAAGAAGAAACACAGTACAGTTTTGGTATTTTAGGCACAATGACGTGCATACAGAAACGCATTGCTCTAGTAAGCTGTGAGCAGACAAGATTTGAGGTGTCTGACTGACCTCCTCATAGAAGAAGTGCTCATCGCAGAGTTCAAGAATGATGTTCTCCCAGCGCTTGCCTATTTCAGTACCTTTTTCATAGTCCTTGAGGCCTTCAAAATGCCCGGCAAACGACCCATCTAGCAGGGACTTGAGCAGAATAAGTGTTTCATCCAAGTCCCACACGTACACGTTGATAGGCTGATCTGCCGCGGCATCACCAGTCGGAGTTTGGCTATTAGCTGAAGCAGGGACAACCTCCTCCATTCGGCACCTGTCGACAAACACAGATCACGTCACGCTAGAATCCACGATTGCACGGACGAGCTAAAATCAAGCAACGCCGTCAGGTCGGCACGCTATCGAACAGCGCCGCTAGTTACAAAATTCCATTCTAATGTTACCATGCACGCTACCGCTAGACGGCAACACGGAAGACCGCGTCCAATCCTGAAGCTTGATGCTATCATATACTACACTAACTGCATATGCTCCCTTCCAAGACACAGCCAAATTGTTTCAAGAATAAATGTTCATTCCCCTTGTACAACCCCTGTTCTGTGTCCGGAATCATCGCCCCCTTTTCCCCGCGGTGCCGCCCTCATCAGATCAAGAAGGATCCCTCTTATCCTAGACCTACGGCAGAACACATTCAGTTGAACTGAACCCAAGTAGAGTATCCTCTGGAGACCGGAATCAGCTAGCAATTGGTGCTTCCACAGACCAATCCAAGCCGCAACGAATCGGATGGATTGGGTTCGGATGGACTGGACTGGATTGGAGTACCCATCCATCCCATCGAGATCTAATTCGGAGTAGATCGCCGAGAGCGAGCAAAGAAATCAGCAGAGCGAGACTGATCTCCCGGGATAACCCAATCCAGGCCACCAGGCTAGGGTTCGCCACCAGCGCAGCGAGATAAAAACCAATCCGGAGCCCTGGCGGATCTGAACTCCAAGCCGGCGAACTAGAAGAGGGGCAGCACGGCCAAGAAATCTCCGTGCTCGGCATGGGGCAGTACCTGGCGGGAGATTCGGCGAGGACCAGGCAGGCCTAGCGGGGCGCACGAGCTCGGAGGATCCTACGACGGAGGAGGACGGCGGCGGCGGTGGTGGCGCCGGAGATGCGAAGCCGGCGGCGGCGGGAGCCGGAGCTCTGATGAGTAGGAGTAGTATATGCTGTTGCTCTGCCCTCCTCTCTATGAGACAGGGACGGAGATATGGGGAAGAAGAACGGACGTGGCTTCATCCCATCCGTTGATCATAATCAACGGTAGAGATCGAGAGGATTGAGCCCAACCTCCTCAAGGCTTTTCGTTTGGCAACTTGTTATCCTCGTGACCCTGCAAAAAAGAAATTGTCATGTTTGCGAGCATGCTTTTCACTTTCTTTTCTTCATCAAAATGAACATTGAGGCAACCTGATATTCTCTTTTTATAGTTGGATCATTGTCCCTGATATTCTCTTTTTTTCTAGAAAAGGAGCAGGACCTCGGTCCCTGATATTCCCTAATGTTGCGTGGCCGATATTGTGGTAATTTTACAAGCATGACAATTCCATGTTCTCACAAGCCAGTCTAGATGTTGGCAGACCGAATGACTGATCGGGTATATTGTTTTGTTGTTTCATGTCCTGATGTGGCTCTTTAGATGCGCGTCTAGGTGTCGTCTTCGCGCGCTACCTCTCTCTTGACCGCCTAAGTGCATCCGTGTGGCCCAATGTTCTTGTGCGTTGACACCCTGGATAGAACGCCAAAACTATTGAATGGCGTTACACGACCGTGGATCTCTTAGACGGTCGCATGGTTGGCATTGTTTCGCTACCACCTCAACGTGTTCGCGTGACCTCTCGTTGTCGTTTCTCCTTCGTCTTCGTCGTGGCCCCTTTCGCGGATAAAAATGACACTACAAGGAGGTCTCCGGCTATTTGGCCATGAAGAGATTGGAGGATCGTAGGAAGATACTAGCAGTTATGCCAATGAAAATGATCAGGTGGTAGCGACAGACGCCTCGGTCAGAGGGGCCAGGTCGAAAACCAAGTGGGAAAAGAGGATAACTTTAGACATTTTTATGCTTTGTTTCCGAGAGAAAACTTATGTAACAAAACTTAATTACCGAAATCTATTTCGTCAAGGCATTGTCTTTCTTTAGACGTTCCGAATACCACTAGTACCATTTTTCTCCTAAGACAAATAAAATCAACTGAGTGAGTCACTCGCCACGTGGCATGCATGGTGAGCACTCTAAATTTGGCAACAAAAATAAATTGGTGAGTCACTCGCCTGATACAACAAATCGAACCGTTTTTGTCTACAAATACTTTGAGTGACATGTAAGTTTTGTACACGGGACGATAAAGCTAGAGACAAACAGGGCACGTGGCAGGCCAGATGGGTGTATAACTTTTTGCAACGCCTGGCGTTGTCACGATGCCGACGTGACGTGTCACTTGCCCTGCTTGATCAGGTGCTCGAATCGAAGCCTGCGTGTACGTATCCTGGCCACGTCAGTCGGCATAATCAGCCACGTGATTGCACGCTTCCGTGTTACCTCTGCTAGCCTAGACTAGAAAGCCATTTGCTCAATCACTTTATTCAGTCACTAGCGGCATCACAATTCACAAAACCCTTTTGAGACAACTTTCTCTTCCAAGTTGTAGTTGATTCTCGTTTTCTCAAGAACACGGTATAATCGAAGTCGCTTTAATGCACAAGCATACACTCACCCCTAAAAACGTATGCACGCACACCTTACCACCATGAGTATCTTCGAGAGACCGCGCCGGCTTAGCATATTGACATTGACGAAGTCACCACAGGCGTCTCATTGTCCATAGGAACGTCTCCTCTCACTGAACGTGCATCGCTGGGGGAAGCCTGAAATAAATCTAGCAAAATGCGAGCACCAATGTGAAATCTAGGACTTGAACCCCGATGGACTGAAGATACCACTGTCCCCCTAACCATCCAACCACAGATTGTTCCGTTGATTCCTGCTTTTCGAGTAATATTATATATGCGCCGACTAAGTAACCAAATTGTAAGCGCAAAATTAATTTAGGTGTGTCGACAAATTGAGGCTGTGTAGGATCTTCCCTTGTTTTGTTTTGGTGAGGAACAAAAAATACATGGACCATTTACTTTTATGCCCCCTAACTGGATCCCACTACTCAGATTTGCCGCTAAATTCGAAGGGTGCTTAAATTTGCCCTCTGTCGTCAAATATGGATATAGAACGTGAAGAGGTTGAAGTATAAGATATACGAAATATAGAAAGGTCTCCGGCTTTTTGGCCTAGAATAGGGTGGAAAGTCATAGGAAGGCAATAGCAGTTATGCCGATGAAATTGATTAGTTGACCACGAAATTGCCTTGGTCAGAGGGGCCAAGTCGTGAGCAAATGGGGAAAGGGGATATAAGCCATGCGTAAATTAAGTATGGGAAATGTTTGCTATCAGCCGGCTGATAACAATGCGACCATCGCCTTCGTGGCCGTCAGATCTATCTTGATCGAATGGTTTGGGGAGCAATCTGGTTTTGCAACTGAGCCGTTGTTGCAATTTTCCCTACCGCAACAACTAGTCTGTTGCAGGATCTAGATCTCACGCGAATTGGACAATGTCTACTCAAGCAGGATTAACCAGTAAATTGTGTTCAATTCTTTATAAACCTGTTTATTTAACTTGATGATCAATGTCATGTTTTTGATGCTGCAAAACTATTATCTATGAGGTTTTGGGGTTGCGTCCCATTTAGGAGAAAATTTCATGGTAATATATACATATGTACTTATTTAGTTCTGAATGCTTTTTAGTGTTTTTTTCACAATGGGGGTGTACCCCGGCCTCTGCATTTTTTTTGTCTTTATTGGTAACATTTTGCCTATACATATGTCAAATATGTCTACAATATCAACAGTAAAGGGGTCCCAAGTTATAGTTCTAGAGAGTACTCCCAACACATGCATATGACTTTGCTTTAATAATGGTGTACATGATAGTGAGTGAGGCATCAATGCTCATCGAAAAAAAAAACCTTTTATCTTGCAAATTCTCCTCTTTCTTTCGGTTTTTCTTTTCCTTTGCAAGTTGTAATTAGAAAACAAGCTGACGGCAAGGCATCAATCACCGTCGGCAGGGATATCTATTTCTTTCAATTGTTTGGATTGTCGCCTTTTTTTTGTATTTTATATAGTAATATACTTCCTCCGTCCCAAAATTCTTGTTTTAGATTTATCTAGATACGGATGTATCTAACACTAAAATGTGAATAGATACATTCATATGTAGAGAAATCTAAGACAAGAATTTTGGGACAAAGGGAGTAATTTAATTAACAGTAGAATAACCTAACTAGAGAACCGCCAACCTATGTGCCAAACCAAGCATTTGTTGACGTATCAAATCACTATCGAGATTTTTGGTTTTGTGCAGATGTCTCTTTCTGCATAACCTAGAATTCAGGCAATTCAGGGTCATAGGACAGAACATTAAACAAGCGACAAGGACAACTTTGGGTCATAAACGGCAACGAAACCTCGTGATTTTATTTATTTTGTTGGATCGACGATGAGATATAGAGTTTAGGGATTCAATTTCATCATTTTTCTTCCTTTTTCATTCCAAAAAGATACATGCAGCCCATATGACTTCGCCATTTTAATATTGCAGCTTAAAGTGAGGCATAGATGCTCATTATAAACAACTTTCTTTTTCTTTTTCTGTAGCAAGCTTTCCTTTTTATTATAGAAATTTGGATCGTGTAAGTTTTTTTTGCGGGGGAGTGTAAGTTGTAATTAAAAAATAGCTTATCAGGAGCACCATCTTGCTCATGGTGAGGCATAAGTGATGCTTGGATTCTCGCCTTTTCGGGTATTATATTACATGATATTATCTTTTAATTAGTCGTATAATTGCATCCGATGACCGCCAATCCATGTGGTGAGTCGACCAAAGTTTCGGCATAAAGTTAGTTTGGCGAGTCGACAAATCAAGTTGCCATCGATGTTTTTGTCTCCAAGCAGACATCCTTTTCACATAACCCAGAATTCAGAATGTTCTGAGCCCTAGGACGGAACAAAAAAACAAGAAATGACTGTGATTAATCGATGACAATGACAACTCGCAATTTATTACATTTTTATTCTGTTCTCACGCAAGATGGATTCTCCTAAAATTGGCGATGCCATTTAGGTTGTCAATGAATGTACATGTCCTAAAGACTAAAGCCACGTCAGTCGCGTCTGCTTTGCACATCTCACTCGTCTTTTCC